GGTTACGTATGTAACCCTAGTTCCTCGAGGGAACGAGACGCTGCGTCTCGGTGCCATACTTCCGGCGTCCCTGCCAGCGCTTGCTTCATTCCTGGGAGCTGGCGCTGGTCTCACCGCACGTGCTTTTATAGCCTCCTGGTCATTACGTCACCCGCCGTGACGTCTCGCCCATCTATTGGTCTGATTACACACGAGATTCAGAGCCCGTCACGCTGAAGGGCGTTCCCCTAGCGTTTTTCGACGCAGCTCGAGTTCCCTCGAGGAACTAGGGTTACATACGTAACCTGAGGCGTTTTTCTGTAAAAGTGCTTGGTTTTTGGGACAACGGGCCAAAACTTCAGCAAAATGGTGAACAAACAATTGGGAAAACGCATTAAGCATTAATTTTTAGGAATACATTTGAAAATGACAAATTTACAAATTTTTGTTGCACTGTATTGCATGTGTGTGTGTTTATTTATTTGCAGTATATTTGAGTTGGTATAGGTAATATGAGGTAATTTTTTCACCTTCATTTTTGCTCTTGATCGAGATGGCAAAAAAAATATCTCAGCACATTTAATGAATGGCTATGCTCTTCTTAATTTTGTCATTTCATCTAAATATCAACATATGTGAGATTTGGTCAATAAAAACAAAAAGTTAATTGATATATTTTGTGTCTGCATTATGTTAAATATCAAAAACACGTTTTGTCTTTTTGTCAATGAGAAATTTATGGAAACATTAGAGTTTTTACAATTGCTAGGACACATTTCTCAATACTTAAGTCTTTTTTTTTTTCAAAACTCTTCACACAGTTCTCCTAACCAACTTTCATTGATTAGTTAGATTGACATGAAGAAACAGAACAAACTGAGACAGACTAGAACTGTGGCAACGTCTCCAAGATGCTTCAGGAAACCTACCTGCAAAGCTACAGTACTGTTAAAAGTTTTAGGCACTTGTGTAAAACTTCTGTAAAATGAGTAAGCTGTCAAAAATAATGTCATAAATAGAATTTCTTTATTAATTAACTTCTATTAACTTAATGCAGCTTTTGCCCTAGGTGCACTTGCGCATAGTTTTTCAGGTCGCTTTGCAGGTAGGTTTCTTGAAGCATTTTAGAGACGTTGCCACAGTTCTTCTGGATTTAGTCTGTCTCAGTTTGTTCTGTTTCTTCATGTCATTCCAGACAGACTGGATGATGATGATGAGATCAGATCTCTGTGTGGAGCACTGGCTATTGTCAGACTCCTTGTGCAAACAAAAATCTCACTGGATTATTACAATTAATGGCAAAATGAATGTTTGGAAATGTAAACTGATATTTCCTACTGACTCACTACAGCAAAAGTTAGAAATAACTGACTTAAAACCATTTTTTAGCTGGTGAAAATATTAGTGTTCTACTAATTTTGGCCACCACTGTACATTCAAAATGCACTAAAACTACCAAAACACTTTATACATGTCTCAAATTAGCTCATTATTCACTCATAAAACATGACTTTAAAAGCACTAACAACAGGTAGCATTATATGTTTGCTTTCGTAAAAATTATACAATGTTTGCTCTTGTATAGATTACTACCACTTGTGTAGGTGCTCAACTATATCAAATTGCTTTGATAGTATTTTTTTTATTCAGAATATATTTCAATACTGTATTACTGTAGAAATGCAGCAAATTCTGTCATTCATTTTTGTATTATGCTAGGTTATGAACTTAAGTTTTGAACAGTTTTGTAAAGAGTAAGTAAATGTGCAAGCTGGCTTGTTGGTATATCGAGTTTTGGCATTGTTTGTTTCTGAGAGAGAAAAAAATTCATGTAATTAGAAAGAAGCAGTCATTGAATGCATTTTGTGCCAAAACAATTATAAATGATACACAGTTTAGCCCATACAGGCTGCTATTGTGCTCACTGTGTGAAAAGTTCTGAAAAGTATTGAGACGTGTCCTAGTGACTGTAAATAGTTTTACAATTTAAAACTAAATGCACACTGTTCTTAAGGGTGGCATTTCCCATCACCTTACCCTCTACATTACATAGCATAGCCGTTTTTTACAACTGGCTACAGTGTAACACTGACAATGAAAACAGCATAAACCTACTGATGGGATATTTATTGTAGGGTTCTTTGTTGAGCACATCAGTGTGTTGTTGGTTGGTAGACAGATATTTTCACATGACATGTGTTTGCATCATTTTGGTGAAGAAAAAATGGGCCAGAAATTCAGCAAACACATGTTAGCAATTGGGGAAAACTGTAAAATAGAGTTTAATGAAGTGTTGCAAGCGATGTGTGACATTTTGCATTTTGTGTGTGTGTGTTTTGAGGTTTTGTCTGTAGATTTATAGGACATATTATTTAGGACATATTTATAGAAATCATGTGTAAGCACTTATTAAATACTATAAAACTGTGACAAATGCTGAGAATTAATGAATGCACGAAACAAAATGAGAATTGGGTATTCCAGAAAGCTAATTTAATGACATAAATTGTCTAGAATACTGTGGAAGATATTGCTTACCCCCAATGAGCATAGTACAAACAGAGAAAATCTTCTCAGCATCAGTGTTGGCACAAACGTTGCCGAAACCCACACTGGTCAAACTGCTTAAGGTGAAGTACAGAGAGGCGATGTAGGCACTGCGAACCGAAGGACCACCAACTGTACTGTTCAAATAGGGCTTGTCCAAACGCCTGCCCAACTCATGTAGCCAGCCTGACAGAAAGAAAGAAATTAATGTCAAACTGCATGTTAGTGCTGCACGATTTGGCCAAAAACCCATATGATAATTATTTTTTTCATATATTGTGATTGTGATTTGAACATCTCATAATGTTGCATAGACACACATTCTGCTTACAATAGAAATAGTTACTTTTAAGGGTATATTCACTCTTCAGGGTATTCAAGTGGTTACTCTTTAAAAGAACAATTTTCGTTCAATGATCAAAAAGTAAAAAATAAATTTATAGTATCTTTATTTGTGTTCACAAAATAATGTCAATTATGATGATAATAAAATCGAATAATAATAAAAAAAAATTTGCACAATACAATAGCAAAATTACAATACTAACATTTGTATTTACAAATATTTATTAATATTTATTTCTTTGCTTTCAGCATTAATCCACCAAGCGTCTATTTTGGTGGAAAACTACAGATTAGTTGACAACAAGTATATACATGCTTCTTATTACAAATGTGGTGCAAAAGCTCTATTTACAAAATTGTTTGAAATTATGCAAATGGAAAAAAAGTTAACCTGACACATATTGCATTTCCAAATGCATGTTATAAGCGACAACAACTAAGAGCAAATGCAGAGATGGAGAATGTATGGGGTTGTGCTGTGGCACACAGTGTTTCAGCCAGCACTGAAGACATCTTGTCTCGTGCAAAAGCCCCCAACGGCGTGCTGGCAGACACAACCACCATCAGCTCCAAGGCACTCTTCCCCAGCTTAATGCCAAAAACCGATGAATAGCTTCCACGCTCTTAACTATGAAATACGCACACATAGTCACCAAGTCGAGTTGGTCTCTCTAGGACACATTTCTCAATACTTTTTAAAAACTTGTCTATGTGGGCAAACCTGTGGATCATTTTCCTTTGTTTTGGCACAAAATAACTATTTTCTTACTCAGACAACCACCACCAAAACTCTAAATACCTACAGGTCATAGAAAACTGAATAAGACAGAAATTTGCTACATTTGTACAGCAATACCATAATAAAATAAGAATCTAGACCTAAAAAATGAAATACTGTCAAAACAATTAGATTAGCTAAACACCTGCACAGGTTTTAATTTTTTTTAAATTTCATTACCAGCTATACAAAAGAAGACAACTTATGAATAATTTTGCTAAAGTACAAAAAAGTGTACTTTCATGTAAGATCATCCTTTATCACACACCATTCGTAAGGTTCATATTTGAAGGAAAAGGTTATAAATATAAGTTTCTCCATTTTGGGTTATTTTTGGCTCCACACACATTCATAAAGTGCAAATTATGCTCACTACCTTGGCAATTAGTTGGTAGGTATTGGCACAATTGGAGACTAGTGCAATATACAATGTTATCTTTTGAAAAGATTTCTTTACAGAGCAAGAATGACAGCTCTCAACTGTTTGGAATTCACTGCAGCATACATTACATGGTCAATGTTTACATTACAGAACTGTATTTAACTTTGAATTAAATGTCTGTTAAACAAATGGAAGCTTCTAGACAGATAAACATTGCGATCACAAACTCATTTTCTGCTTATGCTTTCTGTACAGCTGTTTGAGGAGTTATTATTTTTCACTTGTCTATTTTTGTGGTTTGTGAAGCTAGTGAAAGCTGCCCCTAAACAGCATGAAGAAACAAAACCTGGTCACTTTACGCATTGGTCAGATGGTCTCTTCCTATCCTACTCCTAAGTGGGCGTTCTTGGCCAGAATAATAATTAATGTGGCTTTATGCCGATAGTCAAAATCTGGTTCTGTGAGACTTTTCAAGGGAACATCCCATATAACTTGATAAGAACACCAAGCAGATCTTTTAATGATTTATTTGACTTATCAGAGTGTGTGAATATCTCACCAATGTCCCAGGCTCCATTGGCATTGGTCTCCATCTCTTTGCGCCCAATGATGTACCAGATGCAGGCCATCCAGTGAGCCAGCAGAGCAAACATCGACATGAGCAGCGTTAGTACCATGGCGCTGTACTGCGAGTATCTGTCCAACTTCTGCAGCAGTCTTAACAGACGCAACAATCGCACAGTTTTCAGCAGGTGCACTAGAGATGTCTTGAACAAGCACAAACATGTGTGTGTCAATAGCTTATGTAAATAATAATACCCTGTAATCACATAATTTACTTTAATTCTCCAAAAAAACTAAAACTAAACTAAAAATACCATGGTAAACAAACATGGTAATCATTCTGTACCATGGCACATATACTGTATGTAGATAATGGTACCATCACAGAACTTTTTTTGTAAATGACCTCTGGAGATTTCTTTTGAACCACCATACCCTCCCAATTCTACTATTTTTAAATAAGCCTACTGGAAAAATGGTTTCTACATTCACACATGTGGACTTACGACAGTAATGTTAAATGCATAGAGCAGGTCAAAGGGCAGCGCGGCCACCAGATCCACGAAGAACCACGTGGTAGCATAATGTAGACAGATGGAGCGAGGCTCGTACACCACCTGCCCTGACTGACTCACGTAAGTGGTGCGAAAGTTAAGGATGATGTCTGAAAGAGAAGGTAGATTAATGACATTTTCTTGGAAAGCCTCAATTTCTTTTGAAGCATATATACAGGTGGTAACTGATGTTTTATGTATTTATGTGTAAACCATCTGATGGTACAAGGTCACACGTAGGTTCTTTCAGTGAGTAGACTCACCCAGAATAAAAAGCATTTCAACTGCGATATCGCTAACTATCGTGCTCCTGCCTGCAGTCTCCACATCGCTGTACGCTGTGAAACACACATTGTACGGCACAGTCACAGCAACATAGAATGTAGCCAGTAGAATCATCCAATCCCACAATGCCTTGGACACACTGTAATGCAGCAGGATGAATCGAGACTTCTGGACTGCTGCCACTTTGTACTCAGGCAGGGATGGTTTTTCAAACATGTCCTGAGGGAGAGAGGCACAGATTAAGGAATGAGAGCAAAGAAATTGAGAGATGAGTTCTCTTTTAGCCTAATATCCCAACTTCTTCAAGGTAGCAAGAAGATTTATATGATTCTCATGATCAAATCAAATCAAAGTCAAATTCTGCCCTAAATATTACTGCCCAGTAAAAATGATTTACTGACATACTGTATTAGTCAAGTCTCAACAGTAAGTGACTTTGATCACTGAAAGGAATCGTGAAGCAGAACTGACAGAATAATCTGTTAATTTTCAGAAAATAACAAGAAACTAAATTTAATTTTTATCTGCAAGGACACTGCATGACAGATGATAAATCTTGGTCTTTCTTTAATTTAACTTTTACATCACAGAGGTCAGGGCAAGGGTCAAGCTCATGGTCTTTGGTCATGATTAGTTTGAGGCAGCAAATCATGTGGTTTCTAATACTCCATGCACTCATCTGCAACACTCTTCATTAAGATTAAAGTGTAGACCTGTGATGTCACTGAACACACATCGGAACCTCATGCCCTTAAATAGTCTCTATGAAGATATTGTGTTCTGGGATTCTGACAATATTCATTTAATATAGTAAAATGTTGTTTAGGGCACTGCTTGAAGTGGGGAAAAAAAGTGCTGTACACTCTAGTGAGACACCCCCTTCCATTAGAAAAATAATATGAACAATAAAAAAAAACTCATATATCATCATGTATTTTATTATATTATTTTTAATACAATATTTTTAATATAATATAATCTGAGATTAGCCACATCACATAGTACATAAAAAGAGTAGCTCCATAACAGATACAGTACTTGTCAGCTAATTTCAATTTAAATGATATTAGCACCAAAAATCACAGCTGTCCTCCCTTCTTCAGTTGCTCGCTCATAAGCTGTGTTACCCGGTTTGATTCATTCAATAGTATTTGTGCGTTGTACTTAGCGCTCCCGCGAAACTGATGTAGGGTGTGACGAAATTTGAACACAAGTGGTCAGAGGAGACGCATTCAAAATGAAGTTCCAAACATAGGTTTGGGAGGAGCCTAATCATTCAGGCCTGTCACTCAGCATTATAAGCCTATATAAGCAGCAGTTATAAGCGGCATCCCGCTACCTACCCATCTCCTCCTCTATTTGTGTTATTCTCTCTCTATGTAGTACTTCAATGGGGGGTGGGGGGCTTGAACTTGGGCCTCAAGCCGACCCTCAGGTTCAACGGACGGACGGTAGACCAGAAGGTAGGTGTGGGAGAGGGTAAATGAGATGGGACTGGAACCTGGATCCCCATGAGAACATCCATCCAATCATTGGCAGTAGGCCAAGTAAAGACACCCATATGTCCTTTTCCCTGGCCACTTCCTCCAGGTTATCCTGTGGGATGCCAAGGTGTCCCCAAGCCAGTTGAGAGATATGATCCCTCCAGCATATCCTGGGTCTGCCCCGGGGTCTCTTCCCAGTTGGACGTGCCTGGGCTGGAATACCTCCACTGGAAGGTGTCCGGGAGGCATCCTGACCAAATGCCCGGGCCACCTCAACTCAACTGGCTCCTTTCAATGTGGAGGAGCAGTGGCTCTACTCCGAGTCTCTCCCGGATATCCAAGCATTGCACCCTGTCTCTCAGTGTCAGCCTAGACACTGTGCGGAGGAAACATGAACTCCTCTGCTTGGGGAAGCATCTCACTCCCTTCCTGAAGCAGGCAATCCACACATTTTCTGGCTGAGAACCATGGACTCAGGAGCTGACCCTCATTCTTGAAGCTTCACACATGGCTGCAAGCCACAGCTCAATAAGATCCTAAGACACTCACTTAGCACACGCATCATTTGGATTAAAACTAAATTGTAAAAATAATACCATTTATAGGGGCATTAACTATAAACATCATTTATTTTCAATCTTAGGCATACACGACTTTCTGGCGAAAGTGAATCTAACAGCCTGTGTGAAATGCACTAGGCTGTAGCTTACTACTTGTCCCTCTCATTCTGCACCAGTACAAATACGTGCACGCGTTGCGCGTGTTTTGCTTGCTTGAGTGTTTCTGCATTATATGAGTGGCTTTGGAATATAAATCGCAGCACGTTTCAGATGAAAAAAACGCGACTTCTATTTCTGAAATATTTAAAAAATTTACAAATGCAATAAAAATATTGGTATCGGTACTCGGCATCGGCAAGTACCAAAAATAAAAGTATCGGTATCGGGCGAGTACTGGAAAAAGTGGTATCGGTGCATCCCTAATTTTAGCTATAGAATTTCCAGCTATAACAGTAAATTATGATTTATTAAAAAATTACATAACATTTTCTGGCACAAACATGGTGCTAAGAGAAAAATTTATCTCTTTTTGTGATGGAGCAAGTAAAAATAAGTGTAGGACACATTCACTGAAATAAAATCCTTATTGTTGAGCCCTGCTTGTGATGCTCTTGTTTGCCTATTTTCTCTCAGTCATTTGGAGTGTGATGGAGCGAAGGCAGGTGGCTCTACTGAGAGTGAAGTTGTGCTGAAAACATGACCATCTGTTTACAGGAGCGATCGGAAATGTGACCTGCCAATCTGGCCTCCTGTTCTGCAGTGGCCATGTGACATGGAGGATTACACATCCTTTATACTTCTGGCCTGCACCTTTCACACTGTTTGAACATTTCCTGAGTCAAAAGGTCACCGGAAAATGGGATCCTGCATAGATCCTGTGCTTTACAGTAGCCGTAACTCACAATCCCATGATAAAAAAGAAATGTTAAAGAAATGTTAAAAGGCCATTTTAGTGCACAGATTATTTCAGGGGGAAAAAAGAAAAGAATGGACAAGTAGAACAAAATGATTAGAACTGAGTTTGTCTGGATATCAGAGCAGCTGTGATGTATTGATAAATTGAAAAAGATCTATATATATTTTCATATATCCATAACATTACACGATGATTTGTTTGACTCACTAAGCTGTCATCAAATATTTTATAAGTTTTAAGAACTTTAAAATGTCTTTTTGTATATTTGTATGTATTTTTGTAAAACAACTGTACCTGATTTTGTTGTTTATGTCTTAATGGGAATATGGGAAAGACTTTCTTGACTGTTGTCATTGTTCCTCTCACTGCACAAGCCAATCGTGAGCTGTCATCACAGATGATCTTAAGTTCAAAGTTATGATCATCAAAGATGATCTTAAGATCAAAGTTTTTCCAGCTGGGATGCAGGATGTGCAATTTTCAGATAGCTCAATTAAATGTTATATTTTAGTTGCATTAGTAAGTCAATAAAAGCACAAGTGGTTGTGTAAAATAGACACACAATATTATAATATTTATATATTAATCGCAGGCCCCTGAATTGAATCAAACTGTGATTGTAAACATCCAGTTTACACCATTTGCCATGGCCCTTCCATGAGAAATGATTACTACAAAACGAGTTTTAATGAACTTTCATAGTTTTAGTACATAGTTCATACATTTACTCACCCGGCTTAAGTTGACATCATTTTTGCTGTCGCGGGTAAACTGGCTGGTTAGCTGGTAAATCATGGTGTGACCCCTCCTTCTGGCTTTACTGAAATGAGAGTTCCCAGTGGTCCTTTTGTATGGCTTATTATCTGCACAAAATGAAAAAAACATTAACAGCCTTGACAGTTTACAAATGATAAAAATTTTAAATGGTCTAGGTTTGTCTATGTAAGATTGCGTTTGTTTGTTTATGTAAGATCCATGTGTTTTAGCAGATGTTTTGTAGATGCTACTCCTAAAGCCTGCAAAGACTGTTGATTACTCTATCCTTTTACACCATTTGGCATGTGATGTTGGCTCTCACACTAAAATGGTTTAGCTTCTATCTAAAAGATTTCATATTTTGTTCTGCTCAGTCATCTGCTTGCTCAGTCACTTAAAAAGTAAGGTTTCCCCTAAGGGCTATATTTTGATCTTACTGAACTTTCATTCTATAGTGCATGTGTCCTCTAGGCTCCAAACATGCTATTTCTTATCAAATGTTGAAAACCAACGCTAAGTATTTTTTTAGGCTATGTATTTTGCCATATTTAAAAAGATTAGTAAGACTAATGTTTGTAGTGTTGACTGTACCATCAGTTCTGCTGCTGTGATGGCTCTTGTCTTTTTTTTCTGAGATGTCCTTGAATGAAAAGAGAAAAAGCACCATCTCCCCTTTCTCATTCTTAATGGGCACAATGTCCAACAGACACCAGAATGAACTTCCTGTGATAACACACCAAATAGAGTTGCAGAATTACACAGACATAAAAAAAAAGTTACTACATAAAAATATCAACTTATCAACCAAGAAAACAGTTTCGCTATGGAAGAGCTACATTAGCAGTGGGCTGGTGATTTTGAAGCAATTAAACTTACAGCTTCACTATTAATTAAATTGACCAGATTTCTGAAATGGAAACTTGGGACATTGTCCTATGGCAAGCCGTTTTAGCTTAAAATATTCCAAGCATTACTCGTCGTAATTGCATTTTTACTAGTAACAATTCAATTAGAGAGCTCTACAATTAAATTCTTAGAAGTAACAATGCCAATTAGAGAGCTCTCTAAATCTATTTTAACTAGTTATAAATACAATAAAAGAGCTCTCTAATTTAATTAGAGAGCTCTGCAATTGCATTCTTACTAGTAATAACTGATTATGAGAGCTCTCTAATTCCGTTCTTACTAGTAACAATTATGATTATAGAGCTCTCTAATTCAGTTCTTACTAGTAACAATTAGGATTATAGAGCTCTCTAATTCAATTCTTACTAGTAACAACTGAATTAGAGAGCTCTCTAATTGAATTAGAGATATCTGCAATTACATTTTTACTAGTAAGAATTGAATTAGAGAGCTTTACAATAAAATTTTTACTAGTAAGAATTACAATTACAGGGCTCTTTAATGCAATTTTTACTAGTAACAATTGAATTAGAGAGCTCTGCAATTGCATTGTTACTAGTAAGAATTAAATTAGAGAGCTCTACCATTCAATTCTTACTAGTAACAATACCAATTAGAGAGCTCTTAATTCAGTTCTTACTAGTAAAAATGAAATTACAGATCTCTCTAATTAAATTCTTACTAGTAAAAACTTGTATGCATTAGATGCGAAACAGATTTGCGACTACACCCATTTGCCTTTCCAAATCCCGCCTGTGGTGATACAATTCAAAATAAAAGCCCCATAAGCATGAATTGATAGTGTCAGAATGACCATAAGAGTGAGATGACAGTTTGGAAAGGTTTTATTGTAATATTTAATCACTTCATTAATTCATACCTTTATATTATTATTAATATTATTATTATTTCTTTATTTCAGACCCTTAGGTCCATATCACAAAAATGAAAATAAAGAGTAGCCTATAGTCTTGAAAATACTTTACCAGACAAAATATCACCTAATTTTGCACTTTAACATGCATGCAGTATTTGAGCTAGTACATATATAGGCTAATTAATAGGTTAATTGTCACTCTTGACAAAATGTGTTTTAAAATTTTTCTTTCTTTCTTTCTTTCTTTCTTTCTCTCACTCTCTCTTTTTTTTGGTCAGACATTAGGGGGGAAAAAATTCAATTGCGACATTATTTTTCGATAAGCTTAATTAGGCAATATTTTGCGGAGTGTGTTTTTGTGCTGGAACCGTGGCTGGTTTTGGCCAGTAGGTGGCAGCACGACTCTTTCTTACTGAGTGATTCATTTAAAGGGGTCATATGACGTTGCTAAAAAGAACATTATTTTGTGTATTGGTGTAATGCAATGTGTTTATGCGGTTTAAGGTTCAAAAAACACATTATTTTCCACATACTGTACACTATTGTTT